GGTATCCAAATGCTAACCTGCGATCAGTGTTAGTACGTTTATCGAAACCCTTAAAATAAATAATGTAGTATATTATATAAAATGACTTATATATGCAATTACTTTCCCAATGGAAAATAAAGGAAAGAATTTAAACACGGAACATGTATACACGTGAATATATCTCATTTTTCAAGTGCAGGACGTTGAGTACAATCATCATCTTAGTGTTAATTATACTAGTCACAAAAATGCGTTGTTTCTCAAAAATACTTTTTCAGGAAAATATTGAAGATCTTTTCATAGACACAATATATTCATCCGAATGGTACTGATAATCGTATTACACTTATTTAACTACATGTATTCATTTTGTTAGTCGATAACCGTAAACCAAGAAAACTTACTGTCGTAAAATTCACAAAATTCAGCAGCATGCCTTTTCCAGTATGCAATAAACTAGCTGAACTACTCGGAGGTGGCCGGATTCTTATTTATCACAAACCTCTATTAGTCGAAGTAATTAATTTTTGTAGACCCCCCTCACAAACCCCACCACGCCCCGCCCTATCATCTTTCCCACCTTTTCATCTGCCCCGCCTCTCTCAGCCTCTCTTCCAACACTACCTCTTTCAACCCCTCCTCTTCCATCTTCGCCTCTTCCAAACCCTGCCTCTTCCGATTCCACCTCTTCCAAACCCGCATCTTCCATTACCGCATCTACCATCCCTGCCTTTTCTATCCCCACTTCTTCCAACCCCGTCTCTTCCATCCCCGTTCTTCCACCCCCTTTTTTATCCCCCCTTTTTCATTCCAGCCTTTTCCATCCCCGCCTCTTCCATCTCCGTCTCTTCCACTCCCGTCTCTTCCACTCCCGTCTCTTCCATTCCCGTCTCTTCCATTCCCGTCTCTTCCATTCCCGTCTCTTCCATTCCCGTCGCTTCCATTCCCGTCTCTTCCATTCCCGTCTCTTCCATTCTCCATTTTCCATTCTCCATTTTCCATTTTCCATTCTCCATTTTCCATTTTCCATTCTCCATTTTCCATTCCCCATCTTCCACCCGCCTCTTCCATCCCCTACTCTTTCATCCCCATCTTCTCCAAACCCTTTTATGCCATTCCGCCCTCTTCCAAACACGTCCCTTCTAACACCCCTCTCTATTTTCACCTCTTCTCTCCCCGCCTTTTTCATTCTCGCCTCGTTAGTAAGTTTCTCGTAATATTGACACAAAATTACATCTAATTATATGTAGGTATTTAAACTCAAAAATATGCTCAATAAAAGTACTAACCGTTGAACTGCGACTTAAATGTTTATAAATTCTCCAGCTAACTCCATCGATACGATTTCTTCAACCAAACGTCAATCTCTCAGGCACTCCCTCTCTCGCACTTCCTGCTCAACCACGTGACCGGGAGCATCGCTCTGACAGCGATCGCCGTGAATCAATCGCCGGTGAAAGTAATCGCCCGCGATACCCTTGATAAATATCAATATAATCAATTTCTTCCCATTCTGTTAAGACCTTTTAAAACGAGGGAAGAGAAGCGATTTATAGCTCTTCATTATGTTCCTTTTAACGCAGTGGCCCCTTATCTGGTAAAAAGTGGCCTCGTTTGATGGCCGGGAGGCGATTTGTCATCGGCGCAGAGCGGTTGCGTGGCGAGGCGGGGGCGGGGGAGTGTGGTTGGTGCGGGCGCGGGCGCGGGGGCGGCGAGGTTTGGGGTGGTTTGGGGAAGGGGCGGATGCGGCCATTTGTCGCGCCTGGCGTCGAGCGCACCCGCCGCTCTCACTTACGGCGGCTGCGACCTGGGCACCCGCACCGCGGCCGCGATCGGTCGCTGGGGGCGGGGAGGGGACGGTGCGGGAGGGGGTAATGTGGGAGGGTGGAGCGACGCGGGGCGCCATAGCCGTCATTGCGTCGGTCGCGCTGGGGGGTAGTAACCGTGTAGATGATGGCGGTTGCGAAGGCGATGTTGGAATACTACTGCAGACGGTGGCAGTGGTTGACTTGCTGATAAATGGACATTTGGTAAAAATAGGATTGATGGTAAAGGGACATGCTTTTTAGTCAATTCCTAAGTGACGTCTTTGCGTTTCCCAGGCTGATGTAGTATTTGCTGTGTAGAAGATGTGGAAGAGGGTAGCGATCGAGTTGGTCATGATGGCGGAGTAACGTTGAACAGAATTTTGTAGTATTTGAAGTTGAGAGACTTTCCGAGAGCAGAGTATCACACTATTTATTAATATAATTTTGTGCATCGTTACCGTGACTGTATTTGATAACATGATGATGCATAACAAAAATTAGCTAGCTAAGCGGTAGAAATGGCGAATGATAGTAAAGACGGCAACAAAGTAAATGGAGATTTTCATTGAAGTGAAACTGACGCTAAAGGGATTAATGTTTCATGTGAAAAACTGATATATCGTAGCCTTCATTGTTTTTGCGACGCTAGTTCCATGTCTTAAACTTGGACAAAAACTGTGTTGTAATATTGGAGAGGGAGATGAGAATGACGAGGATGTAAACGTTGCAAGAGGTAACACTTGCGTGTTAAAAAACGAACTAGAATAATGTTATGAATTTCGGTGTTTACGAGATGATTTGGTGTAATAATTATGAAAACAATGAAGACCATGGCAATGCTGATGAAAGCGAGTAAAGTGGCTGTCTGGTTCGTGGATGCTTTAGGCACTGAAATCGACTGCTTTGGGACTGGATCACTGCAGATATCAGGCCATAGATTATTTTGCCCACTTACATACTGTGCCATCCCTGCCATCTTCCTTGACTCCTTGGCTTTCTCCTGCTAATATTCATTGCGGATTGCAAAGCAACTATTTCGCTCCTTCAAAGAATTGGTTTTGAAGAATTCTTTCTTAGTGGTTGGTAACATACAATAAAATAAGAACATAAATATGCTAAATTTTACATTTTCAATTTATTTTTGAAAACGTTCTCAAATGTGACACCCATAAATTGAAATTGAAAAAAAATTATTACGCACATTGTGTTCTGACCCTTTCAATTTATCGTATTAGCACATTCATATTTCTTTCAATAATTATATTGTACTCTTCTTTAATGTCTGGTTGACTTAGAATATTCATACTTTATACATTATTTATAGTGATTTAACTTCCATTCATTGCAATAAAAGAATGTGCTGTCTTTCTTTTAATTTTATTGTCTCTTCATTTAGTAAGTTAGCATTTTTATTAGTAATTTGATACATCTCTATACACTGACGTATCTACGTGCATGAGATCAAGTTTTCGTAATAAAGACTTATCCTCTAATAGAACGCGCATCTCATTTTGGAAGTTGTATTTCCCATAAATACACCATACCACAACAAAAGTCATTCGTCAGTTCAATTACTTCCATTATTTTATACTAAGTTTTTTTGACGTTTCGAAACGTGTTATTAGGAAAATATGGATTTTCCCTTTCCGACGTATCCGGGCGTTTATGAAGTTTTATACAAAAAGTATCAACTAATTAGATAAAGTGTGAATTTTCATTTTCCGAAATATCTCAGGGTTCCAGGCTTTTAGGAAGTTTTGTTCAATAAGTATGAGCTAATTAGAGGAAGTGTGGATTTTCATTTTCCAAAATATCTTAGTGAATCGGGCAACCCTACACAACAAACAACACATTCCACGATCACGCAATTGCTTCCTCCTCCTCCTCACTCAATTGCATCCCATCCAATCGGAACCCCAAACTATTACTACCGATCAGGATCCTCCCCTCCTAACGACTTTTCCGCCTCCACCCCCCAAAACTTCCAATGTCTTCTCCCCTCGCGGCGACGCCTATCGTTCTTATCGTCCTCCTCCGGCGAGCTCGTTTCTCCGATTGTGTACGTCGCCTCCGCGCCATCACGTACTACATACACTCAGCTCCATGCCAGGTCCCTGGACACAGACGTTATACGCCCGCCCACGAATCACGCCCCCTCTGTCCCCGGCTCCCTTCTGTCTCTCGCGGACGTCGAACCGCACAATACTGCCAAATGTCAAAAACATGGCGAAAAATGAAAAACCTTATTTATTTTTCAGAAACTGCTATACAATAGGGTTTTGGGGTCGGTGAATACAAATGTGACATTATTGCTTTTAAAAAGAAATGAAATTAAAAAAGATGTTCTAAAAATGAAAATTGATTTGTTTTTCGAAAATTTCTATATGATAAGGAAGTTTACAGAATTCAAATCTGACATTACTTTTCCAAAAATAAAATAGCGGCTCTAATAAATTATAGTGCACTTGAAATAGAAAACAATGTTCTGTAATTGGAAGTCGTGTTCTTTTTCCAAAACTCTTATATATTAAAGTTTGTGAGATCTTTGAATTCGAATCTGATATTTGTTTCAAAAATCAAAATGGCGGATCAAATATGGCGAACATAATTATAGACAATACTGTTATATCAATAAAGATTGGTATTATACATTTTGATGTCACAGATTCTTTATTTACTGTTAAGTTTTGGATAACTATAAGACAGATGTAGAAAATAATAGATAAATATGAATTTTAAAATTAATTAACATGATAAAACGGGCAATATTGGGAATCTGATTTTGTAGTAATGTATTCAACAATGTATTTAAGGTATAGAAAAAAGTCATCGTCTGCAGGACTGCGTGGGACTTTCCACTTATGTATCATGAAAATTAGAAAGCAGATTTTACAAGTATTTTCATTGTTTAAATGATATAACAACAATAAAACACTTACTTTTAATAGTTTCTTCCATGGAAATGTAAGTCAAACTACTATAAACTAATCTGCGCGGTCGCATATACGGTAAGTGCAAACTTTCAACGTACGGTATGCGACTCGATATTCACGAGCGGTTGTAGCAGGTTAGTAAAGTCAACTGCTTTTATTGACGCTCAATGTGTAAACGCTCAATTTTAAGACGGCAAGTGGCAACCTAACTATTTATGGACTTAGAAGATCCCTATTTAAAACTTCTTTCAGGGACTTTTCGCCACGTTTTCGGCAGTTGGCACCATTGTGCGCCGCCCTCTCGCCGCATCCTCATCGGTGAAAGGCGGTCGGAGGCGCATTTCCCGCGGGAGCCGCCAGCCGCGCTGTCGTCACTCATCGCCCTTCCTGGCCTTCCCTGCAGCTGTGTGGGGCGACTCTAGCGAACATCTAGTGAAAGATTGCTTTCTCCTTCGGGTGTCAGAAGTTAAGGCCCCGTCTCAGGTAGGTATTTTGGAATATGGTGTTTGTGGTTGAGGATTATCAAAGCCTTTTAAGGAAAATTTGTTTTTATCTTTCATTCTGAAACAGTCCGTTCCATTGTATATATTTATTATTTGAGAGCGAGACCTTTAACTTGCTAAAATGTAGCGAATTACGTGTTTCGAAATGTTTTGTAAACATGCGATAAGCGATGACAGAGGAGCTATCACTACTATATATAGTAGTGATTAAATTCACGTATAAATCGTGTTTATTAAATTCATTTAATTCGTTAATACATCTTTTTCGTTGAACAAATATCTGACCATTCTTTATATTCTTAATCTCGTTCTTTTTCCTCCGTCATGCAAACATATTTTCTTCCACATCACGACTAAACGTCTCATTTCAGCAATGCTTAAAGTTATGGCATAAGTGTCAAATTTTTATTTTGATGATTAGATAATTTAACCATCGTACAAAGAACTATAACAAACAACATTTCAAACTATTTTAGTTGTATTTCAACAAGTTTAGATGAATTATTTCCAAAGCGGGGAATGAAGTGCACGAAGTGCACCACCTGCAAAATACAAAACTAAGTTCTAATACTTATAGCACAATAGTTTAATATTAATGTCATGGCATAGTGTATTACTGAAAAGAGTAAATTTTAGTTCAATATGAAAAGTACGAGGGTCATTCAAAACGTAATGTCTCCTGTTTTGTACTTCTTAAATGAAATTAGTTAAGGGAAAAATTTTAATGTGTAACTATTCTTCAGACCTTCTACAATCCACTGCAGGAGAAACATTCTACGTCAACATGTGGCGGCATAGCAGTAGTTTACAAATTCGGCGACATCGATATTCCTGAGAGAAAGCGTTGTGTGATTCATTTTCACCTTATGCATCTGAATGCAGAAGGTGAAATGTGACTGATGAATTACGTCGCATTATTTCCCTCACTTTATCAGAAGTTACCCACCGGACACCACGAATGATTTCACGGACTTGAAGTGACTTGCGTCGATAGACTGCAGACATCGACCTTCCTCTCCACCTTTCGTCAGGCAACGACCTTTGCCCTTCAGGTTCATTACCGACGAACTCGTTGACCAACAGTGCAGACATGCAGTATTGCATCACTGTACACATTTTTCGGTGTTTCTTGAATGCGAATGATCATATTATCTTCTGCATTTAAGAACTCAATCACACAATCTTATCTTATCTTATCGTATCTTACGAACATTGTCATCGGCCATTTTGCAAACGACTGCTCTACAGCCACATGACGCAGAAAGTTCTACTGTGGTGGGTTGTAGATGAAGGTTTTACGAATAGTACCAAACTTAAATTTTTCATTTAAGTTTTATGTAAGTAGAAAAAGAATAAGAGGCATTACTTTCCGACTGACCTCCGTATATGTGCACAGAAGACTTTCTCCGCGATAACCGTATTTAATCAAACTGCTTAAACTGAATTCACTGCAACCCAAGCCGCAATCCGTCTTTGTTCCCAACCCACGTCCAGGTTGGCGGCGTCAACTGCCTTTCACCATTCGCCCTTCCACCCCCTCGCGACACCCTCGCCGCCGCGCTCGCCCTCGCTCGCCGCCGCCCAATCCCAGGGAAGCACGCTCCACCGCGTAGCACCGGCGTGGCTCGCCCAGCGATTGCGCCGCCCGGCCGCGCCGATTCTTTTTTGCTCGCGCACCTCCGTTGGCGCGGCGCCAACGCGCCAACCGAGCACCTGTTTCCGCCGCCGCCGCCGTCGTCCACCTTCCACCCCCGCGCGCCCAACCACCGCCCGCACGACCGTGACAACGTGCAGCCGCTGTCAAAGCGCTGCCGCGTTCGCCGCCTTCCTCGTACGGATTGCCTCGCGTTCGCCATCGGCTCTCCTACTCCCTCTGCGTCCACGGTCGCCATCGTTACTTTATTCGTCATCATCATGAAACCTGTAGTCGGTAACACCAACACCACCGCCGCCGCCCTCACAGACCCTTACATCGTCATCGACCCTTTCACCCCCCTTCATTGATCTCTCATTTTCACCACAGCCACTGAGTCACCATCGAAACTACTGTCGTCATCGTGACTAACTCCATAGTCATCATGGCAACCATCACCATCACCCCTGAACTTCTTGACTTCCAACCGCCTTTACGCTTTCCAACCCGACCACAATCACTGCGTCCACCGTTACTACACTCATCACCATCACGAAGTTCATAGTCGCAATTAATACCACCGTCATTCCTGCAGATTCTCGCACTACCATTGCTTCTTCTTCAGACCGGCCCTCCACTCCCACCACAATCACTTCATCAGTCATTATCGTTATTGCAGTCATCATTGTCACCAACCTTATAGTCGCTACTATAAACATCTCCACCAACTCAACAATCAGATGCTTTTATCTCACCTCGCCATCCTCATCACCCTTTCCACGAAGTGTCCCATTACCTCCAACATAACCAATGCATCCACAGTCAGTATCGCTACTAGCTGCATTCATTTTTGTCACAAACCTCATAGTTACTATCGTTAGAGTCTCTCCTATAAACCTCACCACCAACGCAGTGCAGAGGCCTTTATCTCGCCTCGACATCGCCATCACCTCTTCCACCACGCGTCCCTGCACTCCACCATAACCAGTCAGCATCATTTCTATCTACATTCATAACGGTCACCAACCCCACAGTCGTAATTAACCCTGTCAACACTGTCGCCACAACCATTTTTCCCCTCACACCTCCACCGCTGTCATTCTCACTGCAGTCATCGTCTCCATCGTCACCCCAGACATCGTCGCCATCGTGTTCATCATCATCACCACGACCGCCACATTCCCATTACCAACATCATACCGCTGCGCTCTCGGCCCTTGATCTCACCCTCACCATCCACGCAGCCCACAGCCCGTGTGTTCGCACCACCACCGCCATGGCCGCTGCCCCAACGCCCCCGACACCACCGCCGGCACTGTGTTTACCGTCACCACCATCACAATCATAATCACAATCACCATAGTCGCCGCCGTCACCATCAGTCACCACCCCCGACTCTTGCTCTCGTCGTCGTCGCCATCCCTATCACCGACACACCGCTTTCGAGCCTTTGCTACACTGCTGCCACCATTGCGACCTCATCACAGTTTCCAGAACCGTGCTCTCTGCCATTATCAACACTGTCCCAGCGTCGCGTTTATGATTTTCTCTTCGTTGGTGCGTCACCATCGTCATCACCAATACCACAGTATACAGTCACCATTGTTACTAGTAATCGTAGTAATTATTATCACCAACACCGTAGACATCAGTACTCGTATCACCACCATAAACATAATCATCACATCCCTTAGTACAGCAATTACTTCCCATCAGCACCGTCACTCCAGTAACCAGACTGTTTCAGCACGTTTTCAACACTATCACCAGTGTCACCACTCACCATTGTCGCCATTATCACCATCTCTACAACCATCGCCAGAATGCCACCTCACTCTCCGCTTGTGGAAAATCGCAGAAAATGTGGACTATCTATAAAATCTGAATTAGACGGCGATCAAGAAGGGTTGCCTCTGTCGTTATGGTCCCCACTAGCTCTCGAGACGTAATAGCCGCCCTGCGGGGGAGTTTAGGCTCGTATTTCAGCGCGGAATTAGTCCATCGAGAGCGCTCGCCAGGGGGCGATGGGGGGACGCAGGGGGCTGCACGGGCCAGCGGGGGGCCTGCGTGGTGCGCTGAGTCAGGGCGTCGCCATGGCGACCCAGTCGTTCTTCATACTGTAGTTCATACTGCCGACGGTAAACCGCGAGTTTCAAAATATGACCAAAGCGTGACGTGTTTAAGGAGTTAGGAGAATTTCAGGTATTTACTATTTTACAATTATTTTGAATTTTCTTATTGTTGCAATGACATATTTTATTAATTAATTTCTCCATTATTAATTAAACTTTCACTATAATGAGAGAGAAAATGTTATTATATATACTAATTCCATAATTTCAAATAGAAAAAATATTCTTCCAAAAATATGTTGTTTTTTTCATTCCTTCAAAAGATCTGTCTCATAGTTTGAAGACAGAAAACACTGCTCCATTACAGTACTTGAGTGTGGACGATTCTACCCATGATAGTGACAGGCTTACGTTGTACTAGGCAACTAATAACTTTATATCAGGCAGTTTGTTCCAATGGCACTCAAAAGTGACAGAATTCAACAAAAGGTTTACTAGATTAATTTAGGATTGATTATTTCCGAGAAAACTGTGCAGATCTTGAAAAGTACGCATGCGCAACATAGAACTCTCACGAGCATCTTTGTCGCTGAGGTATTAATTGTGCCTCAGCTGGCAGAGTTGAGTGTTACAATAAAAGCTAGTTTCCTCAAATAACAATATTTAACGTTTTCCGGTGTACCTCAGTAATTGTTGATTTATTTTCTTAAGACAAATAAATTATATAAGAGTTTTAAAACAATATATTTCTCGCAAATCCTTACAGTCTATTCCCCTAAAATCAGAATTAAAATTAAATACCATATGAACCAAAACAAATTAATTAAATGATTCAGAGTAATTTAACCTCAATTTGTAATTTACCTGCAATGCCCAAATCCCAAAAAAGCCTGTGTGTAAAACAGAAATCCTTTGACAGACCTCAGGTTGAATGAGAAGAAATAAATTAAAAAAGTAAATAAAGTTAATAAACTGTCATATGTAAAATTGCTCTTGATATTTCACCCTGATTGAAGTCGTAAACCTTTATATAAAATCGCATTGGGAGATCTATCGCAAGATTTCCATTCCTTAAAAATATGTTTCTAGAAGAATATTAAGCAATTTGTTTCTCCTTAAACACTTATCTAAAAATGTATTGAAGAAATATCTTTTTTTATTACCAGAAAACGTATACAGCAATATTTCATGAAAGCAATTACGCTATTTTAAAAACATTATTGTGGAGATACACTCTTGCCGCAATGAAACAGTCCCAAACACGAGCCATCAATC